CATTTGTAGCAGAATCAATACCAAATAGAATAATTGGTGATTTCATTACCGCCTCACATACAGCTTTACTGCTGGAGTTACAGTGGAATGAAAACTCTAGGAAGCCCAGGTAAATTCAGGACTTTTGAGGCTTTAAGTATTATAGGTTTATAGTTTAAGGACTTCATAATAGTGTTGACAAAAGGGACTGAATTTTGTTAAACTTGTTTTGGCTGGTAAGGAAGATTTTTTCAATTCTGTTTGATAAACAACTGTGAAATCAGTGAAACTTAATGGTTTAAGCATTGTCTTGTATAGATTGCCTGATGGTAAAATAGATTGACAAATGGAAGTTGTGAGGTGTCCTTCAGTGAAGGCTTCATGAAGAGAAACACAAGTGATTTTTATGCATCCATCCAAACTAGTTCTCTTAAAATCAAGTCTGCCTTTCAAGATGAAAGTTATGAAGAGCATACTCATCATTATAAATAGCAGTTTGAATCAAAAATAAATATATAGAAAAGCCTCCCTGAGACAAAACTTTTCCTAAATTGAACTGTGTATAGTAAAAACTCCAAATACCAGGATGTTTGGAGAATAGAGTATTCTAATTAATCAGATTTTCTGTTTATTGGAGGATTTTTTGTTGTTGAAAAATATTTCTAACCATACTCATTACGATTTTATGTTTTCATATGGTATATACAAAACGCAGCTGATCACCTATTAAACAATGGAAACTTTTCTGAATTGAGAGTTATTTTCTGAATACCAGTTATTGTTTTTATAGCAAGTATATGTATATTATTAAATGATAATTTATTACAAATCACTGTGCTTAAGCTCAGCAAATACCAAAAAAAAACACAATAAATTGCACCACTCTTCAAAGAGTTTATAGCCTTTGTGGGTTTCTTATGTAAAGAGATTATTATAATAGTAGTTAATAACTAATAAAAATTTCATAATATATAATATATAACTTTATATAAGTTAATATATAACTGTATATACACATATATATGTATATACATATGTACATACATATATATGTACATATACATACATACACATATACATGCATATATACATATATACATACATGTATGTAGGTACATGTGTATACATACATATATACATATATACATACACACATACATACATATATACATATATGTACATATATAATATATATAATATATATACATACATATACATATATATACAATATATACATATATAATATACATATATATAACATAATATATAACTTTAATATATACACAGGATGAGAAACATGGAAAAATACTTAGTTATTACAGTTATATGAATAAATGTTTCTTCCAAAATCTGCTTAAGTTTCTACAGAAAAGGTCAGAATATCTAAATATTTTAGAAAACTTTTCATTTGGATGTTTGCATATTGATTTTTATATATTGATATTAAAGTACAGGTTTTATTTCCAATTGAAAGAAACTTGTACAACATAAGTTGTATATAAATTGCAATGTGACATTGTATATATTTTAGAAATAGTGCAGCAAGTTTATTAATCGATGTATAATTTCCCCATCAGTAGTTGTATTAAAATATAGGCTTGTTCTCATTGGAATTTAAAATAATTGAAATCTATATTTCATAAACCCATATCATAGTACCTTTTCTCAACAGACATTTTACAAGTTCATAAAGATTTTGTTGTAAATTTGCTAGGAGCAATAAAATAAAGATTATGGATTAAGGGTGTTTTCTAGAGAGTCTCTACAGTATATTGGGGAAAAAGAAAAAGGCTGGACTTTGATACTGGCTGATAAGGATCATGTACATGAATCAATCAATTCTTGTTTTCCTGCTTATGTTGAATAATATTGTACTTATCAAAAGAAATTCATTTTTTTCTTAGTGCTTATTAGTCTTAATAAGTGAACCTCCCACAGAATCAGTAAAATGTTCAAATGATCAAGAATTATTTTTTAGTTTCTTCAGAAACAGACTCTTAACTGTAGAGAACAAGCTGATGATGACCAGAGGAGAGGTGGGTGGGGGGATGGGTGAAATAGGTGATGGAGATTAGGGCCCTTGTAGGGGCAACTCGGTGGTTAAGTGTCTGACTCTTGATTTCGGCTCAGGTCATGATCTCAGTGTTGTGAGACTGAGCCCCGCACTGGGCTCCATGCTAGGCGAGGAGCCTGCTTAAGATTCTTTCTTTCCCTTCCTCTCTCCTCTCTCCCTCTCCCTCTACCCCTCCCCCAACATTTGCACAAGGGCTCTCTCTCTCTCTCTCTCTCTCTCTCTCTCTAAAAAAAAAAGAAAAAAAAAAACAGGAGGGCATCTCTTGTGATGAGCACTGGGTGTTGTGTATGTGTTGAATCACTAAATTCTACATCTGAAACTGATGTTACACTGTATGTTAACTAACTGGAATGTAAATAAAAACTAAAAAAAAAAAATGATTTTGTACTTTCATTCTGAATTGAAGTTAGTCAAACAACCAGACAAAATAGTAAAAATTACTTAAGGTCAAAAGCATATAACTTAACTAGAATTTAATCCTTCCTCTGTATAATATTTTTGTAGCTATAATCAGAATTCACCATTATCTTTATGTTAATGATAATAAAGCAATGTAAAACCTTAATTGTTTGAAAACCCTGGTTCATTTTAGCTCATTTTTCAGCAAATATCTAGGGTGTGTCCCTAGGTCTTATGGTCTAAGATGGTGGTTCAAGGTTTAGCCATCCCATCCCCATTCCAGGCAGCATATTGGAGGAAGATGTGAAGAAAAGAGGCAAAGTCGGCTCCAGCCATGTTTTAAATGAAGTTCTGGCAAAGTGTCATACAACATTACCTCCAAGGGAAGCAATGAAATGAAATCTTTATTTGGGGTGGCCACCTGCCCAGCTGAAGGTTGTGTAGTTTATTACTCTGGAGGAGGAAGAGAATGGATATTGAGGATTCCAGAAGTCCTTGCCTCTGTCCCTAGCACTGTACAAAAACTACATTCTCAAAGGCAACAAATGAAATCCAGCATGGTGTGTGCGAGACTTGGCACTCACAAAGGGAGAAGGTGGGGGAGTAGCTTGGAGGTGATAAGCTGACAGGACCCTAGAGAGAGGAAATGATTTTTAACATTTCTTTATATGTTAGATTTCAGAAACAGTCTAAAGATTATGTATTGGTTTTCTAGAGCTGCTGTAACAAAGTACCGCAAACCAAAAAGCAACAGTAATTTATTCTTTCACAGTTCTGGAGGCTAAAATTCAATATCAGGGTGTCAGCAGGGCCTCTGCGACTGGGTAGAATCTTCCCTTGCCTCTTCCTAGCTTCTAGGGAGGGCCATCAATTCTTGTCATTCCTTGGAGTGCAGCTGTATCTTTTCCTCTATAGTTACACGTTTTGTTTTGTTTCTTGCACCCACCCCCACCCCGCCGCTGTGTGTCTTTGTGTCCACATGGTATTTTCCTCTTCTTAGAAGGACACTATCATGGGGCGCCTGGCTGGCTCAGTCGTTAAGTGTCTGTCTTCGGCTCAGGTCATGATCCCAGGGTCCTGGGATCGAGCCCCACCTTGGGCTCCCTGCTCCGCAGGAAGCCTGCTTCTCCCTCTCCCACTTCCCCTGCTTGTGTTCCCTCTCTTGCTGTGTCTCTCTCTATCAAATAAATAAAATAAAATATTAAAAAAAAGAAGGATACTATCATATTGGATTTAGGACTTACCCTAAGGTCTTCATCTTAACTCGATTACCTCTACAAAGACCCTGTTTCCAAGCAAGGTCATAGTCACAGATACCAGGGGTTTAGCTTTCAGTACATCTTTTAGAAAGTCACATTTCCACTTTTAAAAGAATATTTCTAGATAATATACTTTTTGATGAACTTTAGACATTCAGGCAAGAAAAGATTGTGGTTTTTTTGTTTGTTTGTTTTAGCACTGAGCTTCCCTATGGCAAAGGTCTACATTATTCTTCAAGACTTTTAGATTTAGATTTTTGTTATTTTTGATGTGTCAGTAGGCAAAAACAGTTGTTAAGATGGTCTTAATTATTGGAATGTATCCATCTAGATATTTTTTTTTCTTTTGTGTATGGAAACCCATTTGTTTGAAACCCATTCCCTTGAATACCACCAAAGCATTATGACTTGTCATTTCTGTGTGCCTAACATATAACTGTTTATATGACTTCATTACACAGCTCTGTTCTCTTCAAAGTTTACACTTTATAACTTGCCTTAATTTGGATATATTATGTAACTTACTCAAAGAAGATTATTTCACATCCATTTCAACTTTCCATACTATTATTACAAGATTCATAATATAGGTTTATTTTAGTCTATTGAAGATGAGTTAGTGTATTATATGATAAAGATCTTGTATAGGCAGATATAGAAACCATGAGAAGTAATAACTAAAACTCTGACTTCTGGAAGACAAGGAAAATATCGACATAGAAAGTAAAGAACACACATGTGTGTACACTCGGTGCTCACCTGTGAACAGACTCAAGATCTACGCTGTCAAAGAAGGCAGACTGAGATCCTTTATATCAGTCCGTTATACCTTAGAATACTAACAAATTATACAGAGTGATGACCCAAGTGATACCAATCAAAGCTCATATTTTGTAACATACTCTGTTTCTAGCATGTTTAAAAAGTATAGACTACAAATGTGATTGTTTCAATTTTCGCTCTTTGCTCTGTTTCTTTGGAACCCCTGCCCTCTTAGTCTCTGTGCTTCGTGCATGCAGTTTAGGAATATAAAACTGATATCACTTATATGTCTTATCTAAAAAAGCCGAACTCATAGAAACAGAGAGTAGAGTGTGGCTACCAGGGCCTTAGGGGTGAGGGAAATGGGGAGATACCGATCAAGGGTACAGACTTCCAGTTATGAGATGAGTAAGTTCTGAGGATCTAACATATAGCATGGTGACTATAATCAACAATACTATATTATATACTTGAAAGTTGCCAACATAGTAGATCTTAAATGTCATAATAGAAAAGAAATGGCGATTATGGGACAAGATGAAGGTGTTAGCTAATGCTATGGTGGTAATAATTTTACAGTATGTAAGTGTGTCAAATATATTGTATACCTTAAGGTTATACACTGTTATGTATCAATTATAATATAGCTGGGGAAAAATAAAAGTGAAGATATATCTATGTGGTTTATGGGTGTTAATGACATTCAAAATATTTTAATTTGTGAAAACAAAGGAGAGTGTGTGGGAGAGAGAGTTGAGGGAGACGTTGTCATTGTGCATGTCATGGAGAGGTTATATAACTTCCCCTGTATCTTCTTGTCTTGGCAGTGTGTGCAGGAACAGAGAACAAGCTGAGCTCTCTCTCTGACCTGGAGCAGCAGTATCGAGCCTTGCGTAAATACTATGAGAACTGTGAGGTAGTCATGGGCAACCTGGAGATAACCAGCATCGAGCACAACCGGGACCTCTCCTTTCTGCGGGTAAAGCTGTCTTTCTTTCTCTTCTCTTCTCTGTGGGTGGACAGTGATGTCACAATGCATAAAGACAGACCAGCTTGCTTGTACTTGATGGTGATGCTCTTCTGCCCGGCAGCGACCATGACTGTAGGCAGAAGATAAGAGTTATCAAGGCATGCCTGGGAAAAGAACAAGAGTAACAATGCCATCATGACTGACACCTTGAGTTCAGAACAGTTACTGTTACTCTAAGATTGATAAAAGATCCTGTCAGCCTGTGGTACATGATATCTAGCAAGTCTGTTTTTTTTTTCTTCTCGAATTGCAGGCAAGAGGAGAACTGTTAGGCTGGGGACTAGGCGAGTCAGAGGACCAGTCAGATAAGAATAGGTAACTTCAGTAATCTCGCTTTCTGTCCCTTTACTGTCACTTCAGAAATTTCAGACTACTCCATATTACAATAATAAGACTAATACTGTTATCTTTAGAAGAAAAATGACATCTGTTTTTGAAAACCCACAAATTACTTAAATTAGATACAGGGAATTATCAGTACTTATGTAGGTTGATACATGCATGCGCATAAATGCATATGTGTGTATATAAAGTTACTCAGAGACAACCAGTCCTTTTGCAAACTTGTTTGGGCTCTCATTTACATCCTTAGTCTGTTAAACAGACTATCAGTGCTTTGTGGCTTCAGTTTCTTATGTTTCGCTTTAACCAGAATAGGTAATAGGAAAATCTGAACTTCAAAGAGATATGGTCTTCTGCATACCTGTGAATTTATTCTTTATATAAGAACTATTATGTATTTTAAATAACAGCATCTGTATAATAGATTTGATTTTTTTCAGTAGTATTTACACATTTTTAGGAGTACTGTCTTGTGTAAACCAAGACAAAAGTATCTCAAATACTGATACAGTAAACTATTTGGGATATAGTGAATTATTTAAAGAACTATGATAATTTAAATAATTCTGCACTTAGATAAGTAGTAAAAAAAGGCAATGATTTTTAAATACTTTGAATTTACATAACAAATATATCTAGAAGGGTAGCAATCTCAGAAAATAAACCACCTCAAAATTTAAGTAACACTATGAAGCTTATGATACCTGTTAATAAAATGACTATCATACTAGGATCAGTATAGGGGCTGAAGGTATTTCCATATTCTGCTGCTTGATTAGCAGAGTGCTGGTTCTATGAGTTATATGTCAAAACTTTTTAATAATTATGAAATTTAGTTATGACATTTTTGTTTATCAAAAGTAAATAGTAAAAATTATCTAAGTTCCAGAATGTGAGAGCCTTAGAAGAGCTTAACACTTTTTTTTTTTCTTTTTTGGACTATTGTTTCAAGAAGAGAATACTTGTAAGCTATCCTAGAATAGCCACTTCAAAGGAATGCATTATTAGGTATTAAAATTTGTTTACAAGCTTCTAACCTGTACTTTCAGATAGATTTTATTCTTCAACATCAAAATAAGATTTTGATGGCATATGAACTGATTTGCTTAGAAATGCCAAGAACCTCAATGATGTTACAGAAAAGGAAAATTGAGAGCTGAATTCTGAATCAGGGAAAAGAAATAGGTTAAATAGTTTATTCAATCAGAATAATATGAGAAAATTTTAAAAGGCAGTCTAAGATCTTTGTTTTTCTTCTTGTGTTTACTTGGCTTTGCTGTACACGGAACAAGATTCCACGGGCTTAACAAAATATAGTCATGGATATTGTAAATGGCAGTCTTTAAAATAAGCAACATAAAATGTCATGATCATTATATATTTTATAATTTTAAAATTCTTAAGCTCTTATACGGTAAAGAAGAGAGTGATCAAAAAATAGATCCAAGTCAATTTTTAATATTTAGAAATAGGAAAGTAACCTACAGATCTTTGATCAACATGGTCTATATTGTTGGATATTCTACCTTTTTAAGAACCATTTTGAGTAAAAAGTAAGACAATAGAATAAACAGATTTGGGAAAGAATAAAATAAGTATGACCAAGGTTTCTACATGAAACAAGAATTAGTTGTTTCTTTAAATAAATAATTGTTGATACCTACGTAGCATCTCTAAAAGTTCATGTAAACTTTATACTACCCCATGATCATATTCTTTTATTGTCATCTACTGATTTAAAGATAGCTCTAATAGTTTTTTTTCCCCTAATAATAACACCTTTTTTGTTGTTCCACTTATCTGTTGTTCCTTTGGAAAAGAGCGATTTCTAGTCATGACATATATGTATTCACTCAACAGATGGTCTTAGCCCAAGAATACAATAGCAAGTAATATATTGTCCTTGACTTCAACAATCTCGCAGTCTTGTAGAGGGTTACAGATGAGTTATACATAAGTATCATGTATATATGTGTGTGTGTATGTATATATATAATGTATACAATATGTGTATATGCTTATATAAAAAATTATAGTTGCTAAGACAGAAATGAGAAGCCAGAATCTAAATGAAGGTATGGTCTTGTCTTAATGGTAGGTGTGAGTGCTGGGCAAAAAAAGGAATGGCTAATTCTGAGACTCGGGAAAGATTTCATCAAAGAGGTGCTTGAGTTAAATCATGAAAAGATGAATAGGTGCTTACAAGGTCGGTAGATGGAAGAGAAAGGCATTCCAATGGGTGTAATATAAGTGCAGGCTTAGAAAGAAGGCCCAAAGTCAGAGTTAATAAATATGTACTTAATGTTTACTGCTTTAGATATTAGACATATGCATGCAAATAAATCACACATCATTCTCACCTTCATGGAACCTATAGTCTAGTGTGGCTGAAGATAAATTTGGGGATGAAATAAAATATTAAATTGGAGAGGTAGAGAGCCTTATACCATAGATAGATATTCAGGGGACATCAGAATACAAATAAGTTAACCATTGGGGCTTAGATAAAATCATCAAGGGGGATTGAAGATACTTAGACCAGAAAATAGGCCAAGGACAGACCTCTCCAGATGCTCCATTCTCTGTTTTTTGGTCAGGTCAGTGTTCTAACTACTTTTCTGAATGAGCCCTAAAAGGAGGCACAACTGGCTGAAATCTTCATTATGCTACTGTATTCCAACTGTACCTTAGAATATGCTAAAAGCTCTCCATTTACAGGTTTTCTCCACTATTCAAAACTTGCTTTATGTCACTTCACTTTTATGTAAGACCTACATGACTACCTGTTTTCACTAACCAGAAGAAATCTGAAGAGGATTTTCACTTTTACGAAATGATAATTGTTTCTTTGCTTCGTACCATTTCAGAGTAGGGAGGGTTGAATACAAACATTCCACTCTCAAATAGCAGGGAAAAACTGTAATATAAAAATTTCACTCCAGATAACTACATTATGGTTCATTTGTGTTCTTAGTGGGTTCCCTCCAAAGTACGTAGTCTGTCCAATATTGGCTTATTATAAGTAGAGTGCATGTAAAGGAAAACTAGTTATTTTACATTATGCTAATATTTCCAGTAAGTTTTTAATTGTATGAGTGAGTAATAATCTTGCATTAACCTAGTCTATGTATTACATAGCCTTCAAATATATTTATATAACTGTAATTCACTGAGCAACTGCTTACAGAGGTGTGCAATTTCCCTTCCTCTCAGAATGACTCAAACCTATAATGTGTTTAGAGAGACATCATAGATAGGGACCTTAAATTTATTTCTGGAATTAATTTCTGTCTTTAAGAACATAGGAAATTACTTTTGTTTTTAAAAGATTTTCCATCCTTATTTTCTTCTCTAAGTAGCAAGTTCATTGAATTTTGTTTTATTATTTGTTTTGTATGAAACCACTCTAATTTCTGTAATTCCTGAGAGCAGCTTACCTCAGTACCCTGTTTACCTCTTTCACTATCTGAATAGTCATGTCTAGAACAGCACCTAAAATATCATAAGCTTTCATTAAGTATTTGCCTAATGGACAAATAAATGAGTATTTTTCATAAAACTTAATACTTTATAGATCACCATTTCGTGTATTTTATGTTCTCTAGATGAATATGTCTACCCCTCCTCACGTTATTTCAATATGACATCACCACAGATCAGGTGTGCGGGTGTTAGACACGCACTGGGTCCATCAGAATCCCTTCCTATGAGTTTCCGTATCAGTTAATTTCTTGACCATTTGGGTACTAGAACATAGTCATGTTTTTTTCTTGTCATTTGGGTGCCAGAGAGGGCTGTGCCGATGGCAGAATGGAGCCAACACACTGAAACAGACAGAGAACAGAGAAAGAGAGAATGACCATTCACCCCAAATTACTGGTGAGGGGATTTCCAGTTCCGGTCTTCTTCTGATGACTGGTTGTATTATGGCCAGTAGTCCATAGGATACTCCTGGAACTTGAGAGAAACTTTGAAGTGATTTTCACTTTTTTCCTTAAACTAGATGTGTTTGTTTTCTTTTATTAAAAACAAAATATCCCATCTAGTACTTCTCTCAGGATCTCAAGAACACAGAAAAAGTACGCTTTTGAAATGGAAGATGTACTTCTATATTATAAATCTAAAAAACTAAAACAAACAAAAAACCACCCTATAATGTTTTGGAGATACTTCCTTAATCTTTGTTAGATATATTTTATTGAAATGCTTTGAAATGCATTATTTTCAAGATGCTTTTCTTCTATCAACCTTGGTCCTTATCTCTATAAGCACCTTTTCACCCAGCTTTGTTGTAACCTCCAAGTTTTTGCATTTCTTCTTGGGAAAAAAAATCTAGTTGACAATATTTAACATTAGACCCCTGAGACATCACAGAGTTGGCTAGAAAAAGGCCCTAAAACTTATTTACTATGTACTTTATCACAGTCACAAGGTTAAGACATAATAGAAAACAGCAAGGCATAAAAATCACAGATTTTGTGTTATTGTCTTAGACTTTGTGAACTCTCTCAAACAAGGTGAAATATAGCAAATAATGGGAATGAACTTTTAGACCTTTTATCGTCATTAGAATTCTTGAGAGCTTTCTCTCCTTTGTCATTCCATTG